AGGTTTTCCCCTTCTGGGGGCCATTTGTGTTCTTTTCTTTTTTTCTGGGGGTTTGGGAGGCAGGGGCTTGCCACCCGTCACCCAGGGCTGGAAGGCAGTAGCATGATCATAGTCCATGCAGCCTCGACCGTCCTGGACTCAAGCGCGAGCCTCTCTCGTCAGCTTCCTGAGTAGCTGTGACCACAGGCACACACCACCACACGAGCTAGTTTTGTCTTTTATTTTTTGTAGGTGCAGGGTCTCTCTGTGTTGCCCAGGCTCATTCGTGTTTCTTTAACATGGTACACCCTCCATGGTGACAGGGGCACGTGCCAATTTGTTTGTTCAGGATTTATATTTCCATTTGGAAGATGAGGTCTCTGAGGCTTTTCCTGCCTCTAAGCCTCTGCGTGTGCCGTTCCCACTGCCTGAAAAGCTTTTCCTTCGGCTTCGTGTGTGGCTGACTCCTTGGTGCTCATTCAGGTCTCGGCACCCCTGTGGGGCCCCACAGAGCCCTGCCCCGGCGCCTTTCTCGCCTTGTCCTCCTCTCCCTGCCATTTATCCTGTCTTATCTTCCTTATTCTTAGAAGCCATCATCATTGCCAGCTCCACAAGGGTAGGGACCGTGCCCCTCAGAGCCTGACGCAGTGCCTGGTATGGCACAGACACTCAGTGAACGATCGTTGAGGGAAGAAACGAGGCTCAGAGGAGGAAGGGATTTGCCGAAGCGCTGAACTCAAACCCAGGCCTCCCAAGCCTCTGCCCAGGGCTCTGTCCCCGACTCCGAGGACTGGGATGGGGTGAACTATGCCGAGGAGGGAGGGGACGGAGCCTGAGGCTGGCCCAGGCTGAGGCAGCCCCCCCGAGTCACATGTCTTGTCTCTGTCAACCCACTGCTTAGGTGTATAGAGCGCCTTTTGGTAACTTCACCAAGAAGCTGACCGCTTGTATGTCTACAGTAGGGCTGCTCCAGGCGGCGAGCCCCTCCCGCAAGTGGATGCTGACGACCTTGGCCTGTGATGCCAAGCGGGGCTGGAAGTTTGACTTCAGCTTCTACGTGGCCACCAAGGAGCAGCAGCACACCCGGTAACAAAGCCTGGCAGACAAGCCCGTGCCCATCAGCCCGGCTGCTTCTTTTCTCTCTTTTCTCTCTCTTTTCACATAGGGGATGCCAGCAGGCCCCCCTTTTTTTTTTTTTTTTTTGAGACAGAGTCTTACTCTGTTGCCCAGGCTGGAGTGCAGTAACACAGTCTTGGCTCACTGTAACCTCTGCCTCCCAGGTTCAAGCGATTCTTCTGCCTCAACCTCCCGAGTAGCTGGGACTACAGGCGTGCACCACCACACCTGCTTAATTTTTGTATTTTTAGTAAAGACGGGGTTTTGCCATGTTGGCCAGGCTGGTCTCAAACTCCTGAGCTCAGGTGATTCACATGCCTTGGCCTCCCAAAGTGCTGGGATTACAGGCATGAGCCACCGCACCTGGCCCTGAGGGATGCCAGCAGACCCCTTTAAGAAACCTCTGGCCAGGTGCGGTGGCTCATACCTGTAATCCCAGCACTTTGGGAGGCCGAGGTGGGCAGATCACAAGGTCAGCAGATCAAGACTATCCTGGCTAACACGGTGAAACCCCATCTCTACTAAAAGTACAAAAAATTAGCTGGGCATGGTGGTGGGCACCTGTAGTCCCAGCTACTCAGGAGGCTGAGGCAGGAGAATCGCTTGAACCCAGAGGCAGAGGTTGCAGTGAGTCAAGATCGTGCCTCTGCACTCCAGCCTGGGCAACAGAGCGAGACTCTGTCTCAAAAAAGGAAAAAAAAAGAAAAAAAACTGCTGTCTGTTTTCACCCACCTGCTCAGATGGGTCTCTGCCCAGGGCTGGGGAGTGCAGAACATTGGCAAAGATGACGGGCCCAGGAGCTGCTCCCTGCCTTGATAGCTCCTCAGGGGTTGCAGTGGTCACCTGGCTGTCCCTCTAGCATACCAGGCCCCTTTCCATCCCAGGCCCTTTGCATTTGCTGTTCCCTCTGCCTAGAATGCTTTCCCCAGCTCCTCACATGCGAGACAACGTCTCAAGATTCAAGTCCCTGTCCAAAAGTCACCTCCCGGGAGAGGCTGTCCCTCCCCAAGTACCACATCCAGCCTCTCTCCATACATCACCCACTGCTCTCCTGGCCCCACTGCCACCTGCCACCATGCTGACTTGCAGTGTCACCTGTCCTCCCATGGGAGCACACAGGCACCCTGTGGTAGGACCTTGGCCATCTCTTTTGGTGCCGCCTCCCCAGCACCTGTCACGGTGTCTGGCATAGTAGGTGCAAATAACTGCTTGCTGAATGATTGAATGAGTACATGCTGTACTTCCTTGACAAGGCACTCACCCACACTTTAAATACATCATTAATTCAGAAAATGTTTATTTAATGCCCCTGCCCCTTCTGCTGGAAGGAGAGTGAGAGGAGGGCCTCTGTTGTATTCACTTGCCACAGGCCCAGTCCCTGCTAGCGCCCGGTGTGAAGTTGGGCCCCCACTACATGCCGAGTCAGAAGCCGCATTCTGTGCTCTCGGGGTCTCCATGCCATCCAGGGGCACCTTTTCTGGGGTTTCCTTCCCCGTGTTGTAAACACAGCCCCACATCCATTTATCTGTGGAGGCCATATTAGCTGAAGGTCTCCTCCCTCCGCTGTTCACTGATTTAACAAACTGTGGACTCCAACTGTGCTGGCACTGTGCTAGGGATATGGTAGTGACAAAGACAGATGTGACTCCTGCCCTCGGGCCGTCTACCAGGAGACAGGCAGCTAACAAGTAAACAGCAATGTCATTACAAACCATGATACGTGCTCTGAAAGAAATAGTCCCACTGTCATTGTGGTGGAGAACAGTGGTGCAAGGCCATGCTCGGTGACACACAGGGACTGTGGTCTCTGACAGGGCTCGGTGACACACAGGGACTGTGGTCTCTGGACAGACTCAGTGACACACGGGGACTGTGGTCTCTGACAGAACTCAGGACACACGGGACTGTGGGTCTCTGACGGGGCTCGGTGACACACGGGACTGTGGTCTCTGACGGGGCTCGGTGACACACGGGACTGTGGTCTCTGACGGGGCTCGGTGACACGGGGACTGTGGTCTCTGACGGGGCTTCGGTGACACACGGGGACTGTGGTCTCTGACGGGCTCCTGGTACAACCACGGGGACTGTGGTCTCTGACGGGGCTCGGTGACACACGGGGACTGTGGTCTCTGACGGGGCTCGGTGACACACGGGGACTGTGGTCTCTGACAGAACTCGGTGACACACGGGGACTGGTCTCTGATGGGGCTAGCTTTGGAGTGTCAAACACCCAGAGGAGTCTGAACTCTGCATGGGGCTGAGGGGTGCAGCTTGGAGGCCGGGGAATGGCAGGACAGCACTGGCTGGGTCCTTTCCAGCCTGGGATCCTGACTTGGTGGGGGAGCCCCTCTGCCTGTCCTCCCCTGAGCCCCATGCTGACCTGCAGTGTTACCTGCACAGACACATCAGTGACCAGGGGTTGGGCAGCCTGCCTGGATGAGCTGGAAACATTCTGGAAAGAACTTTGAGCTGCACTGGGTCTAGTGGTTAGCCAGCTGTTGACCCTAGAGCACTTCCTTCCCATAGAATGTAGAGACTCCCTAACTGTTGGGGTTGAGGCAAGGCTGGGGACCCCTGAGCGGGGACCGCTAGGGTTGTCCCTGGGGCCCCTCCTGAACCTTTGTACCCGATGGGAGACAGTTTGAAAGCTGCTGGTCTTCTCCACCCTTCATGACTCCTATGGGGAGACTGAGGGGCAGAGGGGAAGGGCCTTGACTAGATTCCCATAGTCAGCCTTGGCAGGGGCGGGGCTCGAACAGCCTCCAGACCCCCAGCCTAGGGCAATTCCCGCAGCCCTCAACCTGAGAACAAATCCCCATGCGGGAGCAGAGCCCAAGTCCAGACCCCACGACACCCCACCCCCAGCCCCGGCCCACTGGCCTCACCTTGTCCCTGACTCCTCCTGGCCTTTCTGGCCTCAGCCCGGCCTCCGTTGCCTCCACAGGAAGCTGTACTTCGCCCAGTCCCACAAGCCCCCCTTCCACGGGCGCGTGTGCATGGCACCCCCTGGCTGCCTGCTCAGCTCCAGCCCCGATGGGCCTACCAAAGGCTTCTTCTTCGTGCCTAGTGAGAAAGGTACAGCAGGGGCACACAGGTGGGGACCTCAGGAGCTGGGCCCCGCCTTCCCTTACAGCTCTGACTCCCTGTTCGCAGTGCCCAAGGCCCGTCTCTCGGCCACCTTCGGCTTCAACCCCTGCGTGAACACAGGCTGCGGGAAGCCAGCGGTGCGGCCACTGGTGGATACTGGGGCCATGGTCTTCGTGGTCTTTGGCATTATTGGCGTCAACCGCACTCGGCAGGTGGACAACCACGTCATTGGAGACCCGGTACGGGGCATGCGTTGGGCAGATGCCGAGGGCCCCAGCTGCAACAGTCTTGCAAATAAGCACCTGTCCAGGGAACCACGTCCAGCTCCTCACACCCGCTCTTGGCTCCTCGATGGCTCCTCTAGCCCAGACAGATCCCCCGTGGGCTCCTGGGGGTCCTGTTTTTCTTGAGGACTCAGCGGCATTGACCTCTTAGACTCGCCCAGGAATCTGGGTTTAGGGTCCAAGCTGGGTGCCTGTGGGGGACTCGAATGGAGAGAGGGCAGTCCAGGTGGGCACCTCCTTGCCCTCCCCCTCGCTCTGAGCTGGGCTGCGGCTTTCTCCTCTCTGAGGCTTCCCTCCGTCACATGCACTCCTATCCGGTGTGGGGCTCTTCACTGTTTGAAGGCACTGGTTGAGCTGGGACTGTTCGGCACATAGTGGGTGCTAAGGATTCCTGGGAGGAAGGACGGGCGGGTGTCCCTTGCCTTTAATAAATTAGTCACAGCCCGGCAGGGTACACGGGAATGGCAGCCATGGAGTAAGTCGGGAGCAAGGTGGAGTCGGAGGAGATCTGTGTGTTCAGTCCACACTGGGCATCTGCAGGCGCTGGGAGCAGGGGCTGGGGGACCAGGCAGGTCCTGCAGGACAGTGAGGATATGGCTGGCTGGGAGGGTGGGGAGAAAAGCAAGAAGTTCAGGTGAGAAGGTGGTGGGGGAAGGGGAGGAGGTGAGGCGGAGGGGCCTGTGTGGGGTGTGCAGTGATGGAAGCAGAAGATGCTGGCGGGGGCAGGACAGAGGGTTAGGGTGGGGCAGTGAGTGAGCAGTTAGAGGCTGGCAATGTGAGGGTGACGGGTAGCAGGGAGCTGCTGGAAGTTCTTCCCTGGGGTTGGGGGTGAGCACGCAGGACTGAGTCCCCGTCTCACTGAGCGGCCTGGGCCGGCTTATGTCTCCTTGGGAAAGGGCAGCGTTGTCTACGACAGCAGCTTTGACCTCTTCAAGGAAATTGGACACCTGTGTCGCCTCTGCAAGGCCATCGCAGCCAACTCCGAGCTGGTGAAGCCAGGCGGGGCCCAGTGCCTGCCTTCAGGTGCGTGGGGTGTGGGGAGCTGTTCCTCTGAGGGAGAATGGACTGACTGGGGAGGCACAGAGGCTGGTCCAAGGTAGACAGCCGAAGGACACAGTGTCTGGCATGTGGGGGTGTTTTGCTGAGTGTCTATGCTGTGTGTCTGTGCTGAGTGTGTCCACACCAGGGTGGGGTGTGTGCCGGCAGTCAAGGGTTTTTGGATGTGAGCAGGCTTGTGTGTGAACAGGACTGGTGCAGAGGTGTGCGTGTGTGGGATGTGGGGCACATCTGCCGGAGTAGCCTTTCCAAAACTGGGGGGTAGGGCCAGGGACTGGCCCACAGCCAATGTGGATGAGGTCACCACAGGGGCGTCCCTGGGAGGGGCCCACACGTCATGTTCTACCCCGATGGCAAATGCATGTTATAGGTTTCCCAATGCCGTTGCCAATGGTAACAAACACTCTAAGCCTCAGAGGTAGGTGAGCGCGTGGGCACAGGTGTGATGCAGGGGGACAGGCTCTTCCAGGGCCACCACCCACTCCCTTTCTTGCCTCTCCCCACAGGCTACAGCATCTCCTCCTTCCTGCAGATGTTGCACCCTGAGTGCAAGGAGCTGCCGGAGCCCAACCTGCTCCCGGGGCAGCTGTCCCACGGGGCTGTGGGCGTCAGGGAGGGCCGCGTGCAGTGGATCTCCATGGCTTTTGAGTCGGTGAGCCCAGGCAGCCTCGCTGGGCGCCGTGCTGCATACTTGCCCTGGGTGTGCCACCTCTGATCTCAGCCCTCTTCCCAGATCGGGGGGAGATGCTGAGGCCCAGAGAGGTGGAGTGACTTGCCTGAGGTCACACAGTTAGTGGGTGTCAGTGTCAAGTGCTAAACCAGGCCCCCTGACTGCAGAGCGCTGCCCTTTCTTCCCATGGGTGGCCTGCCAGTTCCCTTCCACCTACCTTTTCCCTTCCCTCCTTCTCCACCAGCCGGGGATCCACGGTATTTTTTAGTCTCTGGTCTGTAGGGGCCGGTGGAAGTCCAGAATGCCCCCCTTTGCCACTGTGGGAGGCCAGGTTGGGGCCCCAGACCCTGGCAGCCTCCCTCAGGGTGGCCAGGGGACCGGCCATCCCCCATACCTCCCTGCTGCCTCTGTCACCCCGGACGCTCGCTGAGCTCTGCCCAAGGAGGCATAGGCACACGCGTGCACATGCATACGCGTGCACACACTCCTGACCTGAGCCCTGTGGGGACTTTCGGCCCTGGCACGTGGCTTTCCCCAGCTTGGCAAGCCGGTCCCTGCTGCCTCCGTGCAGAGACCTGGGCTCAGTCCTTGCCGGGATCCTGGTGTGCTCTGTGTCCCTGAGCAAGTTACTCGTCCCCTCTGGCTTTATCTGTAGAAGCGGGTTCAAGATCCCTGTGCCCCTCTGGCAGGTGTGGAGGTAAGAACACATGGGAAAATCTGGGGACTAAGAATCAATGTGACAGCTTAAGCGGGGGGGTGACTCTCCTCTGGCCCCCTGCCCTGACTTGCTTCCCACTATTTATTTGTGCTACTCATTGCACAAGCAACGAAACCAGCCACCAGCCAAGGGGGCCTCAGAGCCCTCAACAGGCCCCCAATCAAATGCAGACACCAGTTCAAAGACCCAGCTGGGTCTTTTTTAGGTTGCATTTTTTTTACAGTGGTGAAATATACATAAGGTAAAATTAACCATCTTAACAGGTTTTTTGTTTGTTTGTTTGTTTGTTTGTTTTGAGTCAGGGTCTCACTCTATCACCCAGGCTGGAGGGCAATGGCATGGTCTTGGCTCACTGCAACCTCCTCCTCCCAGGTTCAAGCAATTCTCCCACCTCAGCCTACAGGTGGGTGCCTGTAGTACCTGGGACTACAGGCACCCACCATCATGCCTAGCTAAATTTTTGTTTTTGTTTTTGTTTTTTGTTTTTTTGGTAGAGAGGGGGTTTCACCATATTGGCCAGGCGGGTCTCGAACTCCTGACCTCAGGTGATCCACCCACCTCGGCCTCCCAAAGTGCTGGCATTACAAGGCATGAGCCACCGCGACTGGCCTGAACCATTTTTAAGCATACAACCCTGTGGCATTAAGTATGTTCACACTGTTATGCAACCATTACCACCATATACTTCCAGAACTTTTTTCGTCTTTCCAAACTGAAGCTCTATCCCTAGTAAACACTAACTCCCCCTCTCCCCTTCCCACAGTCACTGGCACCCACCATTCTACTTTCTCAATGAATTTAACAACTCTGGGGGCCTCATGTGAATGGAATCATACGGTGTTTGTCCTTTGGTGACTGGTTCTTTTTTTTTTTTTGAAATGGAGTTTCGCTCTGTCGCCCAGGCTGGAGTGCGGTGGAGCCATCCTAGCCCACTGCAACCTCCGCCTCCTGGGTTCAACCCATACTCCTGCCTTAGCCTCCCAAATAGCTGGGATTATGGGCATGCGGCACCACACCTGGCTAATTTTTTGTATTTTTAGTAGAGATGGGGTTTCTCCATGTTGGCCAGGCTGGTCTTGAACTCCTGACCTCAGGTGATCCGCCCACCTCGGCCTCCCAAAGTGTGGGGATTACAGGCGTGAGCCACCGCGCCCAGCCAGTGACTGGTTCATTTTACTCAGTGCCAGGTTCACCATGTTGCAGCATGTGTCAGAACTCACCTCCCTCTGCAGGCTGAAGCCCCAGGCAGTTCCAGGCAGGAGAGAAGTCCCCACTCAGGCTCACCACGCAGCAGGGCGCCCACTTCCAAGCTGACCCCACCAGCACTCAGACACGCGTGCACCTGCGCATGCACACGCAGGCCTCCTGGGAACTGGCTTGTACTTGGCAGGAGCAGAATTGATGAGCAGATACCTTAAGAACCTTTTAGAGCAGGGCGAGTGCCTGTTTCTCTCATTCATCATCCATGAGCACCCCTCGGGCCTGGGCACTGTGGGCCAGCCAGGCTGCTCCTGACCTTGCAATTCACAGTCCCACCTGCCAGGGCCAGGCAGGTTGCCAGGCAGTGACAAGAGTAGGGGAAGCACTGAGGGTTTGGAGACCCCAACGGAGGCCCACCTTGGGGCATCAAGGAAGGCTTCCTGGAGGAGACGGAACCCCAGAAAGTCCTGAAGGATGAGCAGGAACTGGCTGAGCAGGCAGAGGGAATAGCACGCGCTCTGCATGGACACAAGAGTGTGGGGGACCCTGGGAGCTGAAGGGGGTTCTGGTGGGCAGGGACTGTGGTTGCATGTGGACCAGTGCTGCTGTCACAATCACATAATACCTCCAGAAGCTGGTGGGGACTCATTTTGGATCGAATCGTTCATACCCTCCCCGACAGACGCAACACTCCATTGGTGGCCACAGAACAGACCAGCCATGCCTGGGAAGGGCGGGTGGGCCACAGCCCCTGCCTGTCTCACTGGCTCACGTTTCTTCCCACAGACCACGTACAAGGGCAAATCCTCCTTCCAGACCTACTCAGACTACCTGCGCTGGGAGAGCTTCCTCCAGCAGCAGCTGCAGGCCTTCCCTGAGGGCTCAGCCCTGCGCCGGGGCTTCCAGACCTGCGAGCACTGGAAGCAGATCTTCATGGAAATCGTAGGCAAGCAGCAGCCTCGTCCCCTCCACCCTGGGTGGGCAGGAGGCAGAGGGACCTGGGAGGGGAGGGCACACAGCGGCCAGTCTGAGCCACACTCTCTGTCCTGGCCAAGAGCCCTGGGGAAACCGGGTGCCTCAGTGGCCAGGACACTGATCAGAGGCTGGAGTTTGGGTCCTCTCCTTCGGGGGCATCTGGCTACATTCTCTAATCTGGACTTTGGCCACCTAAAAAGTAACAGTCATGACCATGATGGCAGCTGCCAGTTACCAGCCTCTCCTGGGTGCCTGGGCTCTGGGCTGAGGGCCTGACCTGTGTTCTCTTCAACTCCAAACAAGGCAGGTGGGGTAAGGTCCTGTTATGACTGCATTTTACAGACAGGGAATTGGAGTCTCAGAAAGGTCAAGGGCTCACCCCAGCAGCACAGCTTGCTGTGAGCGCCCACAGAGCAGCACACTGAGGCCCTGTCCTCCCTTGCAGGGGTGCAGAGCGCCCTGTGCGGCCTGGTGCTATCCCTGCTCATCTGCGTGGCCGCGGTGGCCGTGTTCACCACCCACATCCTGCTCCTGCTGCCCGTGCTCCTCAGCATCTTGGGTATGTGGGCGAGGGGCTGACAGGCATCCGGCCGGTAGGGATGGGAGCAGGCAGAGTCTCCCTCGTTGGCCTCCAGGTAGCAAGTGTCTCTGAAGCCTTCACTGTCACATCTCCTCGGTGGAGGCTTCCCCCACCCCCACCCCAGGTCACAAGACCTTCTGCCAGGTGCCATCTGGGACAGTGGCTCATAGGACTGTCTCTCCCGCATGTCTGTGCTCGTGAGCAGAGCCAGGGTACCCACGTAGTAGCCCTCAGCTCAGTGATGTGTTGCTGCACCTGTCCCCTGCTTCGGGGGTCCCCTCAGTGTGCCTTGTCTCTCCTGTCACCTGAGGGTGGGGGCTAGACTCCAGACCTCCCTGTTCCCCTAAGGCCTCCAGGGTGGGAGGTCTGAGCTGCCTCCCCTGCTGTCCCCTTGCAGGCATCGTATGCCTGGTGGTGACCATCATGTACTGGAGTGGCTGGGAGATGGGCGCCGTGGAAGCCATCTCGCTGTCCATCCTCGTTGGCTCCTCCGTGGACTATTGCGTCCACCTGGTGGAGGGCTACCTGCTGGCTGGAGAGAACCTGCCCCCGCACCAGGCCGAGGTGAGCACCCTGCCCACCTTACCCACCTCCCACCACATCGGGTCTTCTCCCACCTGGGTGCAGCTGAGGGACCCTCAAGGGCAGCTGGACATCCCAGCACCAGGCCCCCCCATGCAGTCTGTGTTCTAGAAACTAAGGTTTCCCAAAGCTGATCCCCAAGCCCCAGGGACTCTGGTTCTAAGGTCCACACCCCCCAGCGTCAGTCTCCCCAAGTGAGCAATGAGAGGGTTGGACCAGATGCAGGATCCCAAGGGGGCCCTCCTGCTTCATGTTGCCCCAAGCTATGGCTCATTCTCCTTCCAGCCATGACCCAGAGGCCACAAGTCTGCTCCAGCCCCTGGTGGCTTGGTAAGGACATGTTCACATACTCAGTGCCAAAACCAGCTCTGGGCCTAGTAACGGTTTTTTCTTTAGTTTGGAATTGGCGTTGGTGTGAAAACATTCACAAATATGTAAAAATCAAATCAGTTACACATTCAACTGCCTGTGGTCAGAGGAACAAAATGAGTTCCAAGCAGGGCTCCCATTTATGAGGACCCGCTGTGCAGACCCTTGCATCCTATTGACATAGCAGCACCCACTGGTGCGTACCCTCCCAACTCTGTGAGGCCGCTTGCAGCTCTCATCCCAGTGACAGAGTAGGAACCTGGCCTGGGGCGGGGGTGCGCGATTCCCCAGGTGCTGGCCAGAGGGGTCCTGCGGGCGGGCGGGCTGGGCTTCCAGCTCTCCTCTCGCCCCCAGGACGCCCGAACGCAGCGCCAGTGGCGTACGCTGGAGGCCGTGCGGCACGTGGGCGTGGCCATCGTCTCCAGTGCCCTCACCACGGTCATCGCCACAGTGCCCCTCTTCTTCTGCATCATCGCCCCGTTTGCCAAGTTCGGCAAGATCGTGGCACTCAACACGGGTGTGTCCATCCTCTACACACTGACCGTCAGCACCGCCCTGCTGGGCATCATGGCGCCCGGCTCCTTCACCCGGACCCGGACTTCCTTCCTCAAGGCCCTGGGGGCCGTGCTGCTGGCGGGGGCCCTGGGGCTGGGTGCCTGCCTCGTGCTCCTGCGAAGCGGCTACAAGATTCCCCTGCCTGCAGGGGCCTCCCTATAGCCCAGGCCGGGCTCTGGACACTTGCACCTTTGGTCCCGTGGGTGGGGGACAGGAACTGCTTCCCAGCTCGGCTCCAGCTAGCTGTGTCCCCAGGCCTGGGCCCAGGGCGCCCTCCGGGCTAGCGTGGAGGCTGACACCCACACAAATGGTGTGGACCGCACTGCCTTTGCGGAGCTGGGAGTTGGAGACGGCCGCCACCCCATAGGCCGTCTGCTGGCAGCCACACTTGACGTTTTGCCCAGTGGCAGAAGAGACCAGCCCTCCTCCCATGCCCGGTCACCATGGGGGTCAGGTTATTTTTGTAGGGAGTCTCCCGCTCACACTGCCTCAGTGCTCACCACCTTCCAGTGTGGATGTTACAGGGTGACCCCCATTCTACCGATGTGAGAACTGAGGCGCCAGGACACAGTGGCTGCCCTGCCGCTGGATCAGTAGCAGAACCAGAGCTGCCTCTGAGCTCCATGCTGCCCTCGGGGATCACGCAGGAAGAGCACAGTGGATCCAGGGTGGGGGCCTCACACCCCCTACACCCCTCTCCCCCGCAACCCTCCCCTTCAGCTTTACAGCAGCCAGTGCTGAATGGCCCTGTGGCCCTCCCTGGGCCTTTTGATCCTGGCCAGAGAAGACAGAGGGACCCGGCTTGGGCTTCTGCATGTCCTACCCCTGACCCCAGCCTCAAGGGGCCCCTCGAAGGCCCTCTCTGGTTTCTGTGGGGCTCCGCGCAGCTTTCCTCATGGATCTAAGCCCCCGTGTTTCCCACCTGACTCTGAGTGGATGTTTTGGGGGGTCGCCCCTGTGGGGAGGAGCTGCCATGCCTGCCGCCTTGCTCATGGCAGAGGGTTCCTATTAAAGTGACATAGGATTGCAGACCACCGCTGTTAACACGAGCATTTTAAGCACTGCTGTCTCCACATTTCTAAAGTTGAAGTGACCTTGCACACTGCCTAGCCTGAACCTGGCACAAAGGCTGGGGCTGGCGCCAGAGGGAGAGGTGGGTGGGCTGAGGGTGCCTGACCATCCTGGAACAGGTCACAGGGCGCTCTGGGGGAGGTGAGGTTCAAGAGATGCTTCTTTCTTTAAGGGATCCAACTGGCTCCGCAGAGCAGGCGTCTTGAGGATGCCTTTCGTGTGTCGAGTATTGTGCTGGTCACTGAGCTCTTTCCCTGGAGACTGACATTGCCACTGGGCTTTATGAGTGTGGACTCAGACTGAGCTGGAATGAATCCCTGAGGGTGGGAAAGACATCAAAGGGGGTTTCCAGGCCAGCCCTCCTGGCCTTCTGTAAATATTAACTGGGGGCCTGGGGATGTAAGATAGACGTACACCATACTCCACTTAGCAAGTGTTTGTTGAGGGACTGTCAGACCTTGGCCCACAATGCATAGTGAAGAAAGACATCAGACAAGCAATGAGTGAGCCTAGCGGGCGGCACTGACTGCCAGAGGCTTTCCTCAGGGTTTGTGTCTGTGTCCGGGGCTGCCATGAAAAAGCTCCACGCACTGTGTGACTTCCACAGCAGCAGTTTATTCTCACAGTTCTGGAGGCTGGATGTCCAAAAGCAAAGTATTGGCAGCGTCGGTTCCTCCTGCAGGCTTTCAGGGAGAGTCTGTCTCCTGCTCTCCTAGAAGGCTTCTGCTGGTTGGTAGCAAACTAGCCTTCCTGTTCCTTGTCTCCAAGAGGCGTCACTCCAGCCTCTGCCTCTGCCCTCACGTGACTTTCTTAGTCTGTTTCTCTGTTTACGTCACCTTCTTTCTAAGAGAAGCACCAAGCATACTGGATTAGCCCCCCGCCTTCATGACTTCATCTTAACTTGATCATCTGCAAAGAGCCTATTTCCAAATCTCGCATTCACAGGTACCGGGAGTTAGGACTTCAACATCTTTCCAGGGACACAGCAGGGTTCCCATGTGTGAGCTCACTTGTTAACCATAAGGAGTAGGTGCTGTTGCACCCATTTTGCACACAGGGCAGCCAAGGATCTGAGATTGACTTGCCTGGATCACACAGCTACTGAATGGTGGAGCCAGGCGCCGAGCCCCACCCGCCTGTCCCCAGGGTGTTTCTTCAACCAGAAGAACCAACCCTTCAACCAGATTCACAGCCTCTCAATACAGTCTAACAAAGGCTGATGGTGCTTACAGGGTTGTCTGAGGTTGGTGGTCAGATCAAGAGGCCTGTGCTTAGAAAATCCGGAATGAGAACCCTTGTGTTTGTACAATGCTTCATACCTGAGCATCTTCCCGTCCAACATCTGGAAAACCCGGACCCTTGGAGGCCTAGCCAAGAGCGCAGTGGCTGAGGGGAAGGACCACGGCCTGAAGCACCCAGCCCTGAAGGGTCTGGTCAGGGCACAGGCCGGGCTCTGACCTGGGACCCACTTGCGGTAGTCCCCAGGTGTGCAGGAGGCCACATCTCAAGGTCAGTCCTCGTCCAAATGACCACCCATGCAGGGGAAATGGGGCAGGCTGGTGGGAGGAGGCCCAGGAGTGGAGGGGAGGGGAGGGGGCTGGCAAATTGACAGGATGCCCCAGAAGGTGCTTAGAAAAAGGATCTACATCTCCAAGTACTTGTCCCGAGACCTTCCCAAAAGCTTAGTTTTAATATGGAGATAGAATCATTTGCATATCATTTGCATGCAGTTCAAATAATGCCCATTTGGCCAGGTGCAGTGGTTGAGCCTATAATCGCAGCACTCTGGGAGGCCGAGGCGGGGAGATCACATGAGGCCAAGAGTCCAAAACCAACCTGGCCAACGTGGTGAATCCCCGTCTCTACTAAAAATACAAAAATTAGCCGGGCATGGTGGTACACATCTGTCATCCCAGCTACTTGGGAGGTCCCAGCTACTTGGGAGGCTGAGGCACAAGAATCACTTGAACCTGGGTGGTGGAGATTGCAGTGAGCCGAGATTGGGCCTGGGAGACAGAACGAGACTGTCGCAGTAAATAAATAAATAAATAATAATGCCCATTTGTAAAGAAACCCTCCTCCCCACCCACCCGTCTCCTTTTGTGGTACAGCTCCTCTTCCTTCCCCTGGCCTCTGTCTTTTCAGGGTGTTGTGGGGGTTTTGGGCAGGCAGGTCCAGGGTGGAGAAGTCTGGCCCTGTGTCACTGTCATCTCCCCCAGGGTGGCGAGGGCTCCGTGGCACACGTACACCTCTGATGTAACCCTCATGCTCCTGCGAGTGGAGTTCCCATTTCACAGATGAGCACCCAGAGGCCCAGAGAGGGGAAAGAGTGCACACCCACCATGCTGCCAGGCAGCTTCCCTCCCCACCAGCCTCTGGCCAGGGTCACCCCTGGGGATGGCATTCTCAACTTCAGGTCTGCATCTCCTCATCAGAGCTAACGTGTCTGGCCCTTGTCTGGCCCTGTGCAGTGCCTGATCTGTCCAGCTCTCGGCAGGTGGTAGTTCTTCCTCCAGGAGCGGGACCATGGCCAGGCTGGGGGAAGGCTCTGAGTGTTTGGGAGTTTCCGGGAACTTTGGCCACACAACCGGTTGCTTGCTTACCTCCAAATAAATCCCCCTTCATCTTATTTGTGAATACTGGCGGCACAGGGTCTCAGAGGCACTAACTCCCACGAAAAGAACCTTGACCTTCCTTTGCCACTGATGCACAACTCACGGTCTTAATGAGCTTTGCTGAGCATTAATGAGATGCTCTTTGTTAGCTTGGGCACAGCAGGTAGGCTGAGGTCTGTGAGGATGTGCAGACATTTAGCGTGCCAAGGTGGCAGTGCGTGACATAGATGAGGGGCTGAAGGCATGAGGAGAGCGAGGGGAGAGGGACCCCCACCCCCTGCCAAGGTTCTCTGAGCCCTCGCTTCTCTCTCCTTCCCTTTGGAGACCAGGAGGTATCAACGTGTGTTCGTGTGTATGGATTGCCTGCCTTGCCTGGGCGAGAATCTGTGCATTCTCGGGAATCTTTCGAGCACTGGTCAGAGGGAATGCTTTTGCCCCATTTCACTGCTAAGCAACTGAAGTCCAGAAACATGAGCTGTGCCCAGGTCCACACCCCACCAGCTGACAAGGGTCCTTGAGGAAGGGCAAGGCTGTGCCCACTCCCATGTCCACCCAAGGAAGCCGAACTTTATCCTGGAGGGAATGGGAATTACAATGAAAGGTTTTTAATAACAGAAGACCGTTTTATATTTATCTACTTGGTAAAGATCTACAAGGTTGATAGCACACTGCTAGCCGGGCTAAGGGGACACGGGCTGCCACGCACTGCTGATGGGCATTTAACAGATTCCACTGTGTAATGTGGCAGTCACTATCAAAATTACAATCTCACAGTTCTTTTGATTGAGCAATCCTGCTTTTGAGAATCTATCCTGCAGCTAAACCTCCTGTGCTGGCCAAGTGTAGAAGTTATTCACTAGAGGCTTGTCCGGTGCAGCAAAGGGCTGTGAGCCCCACATATCCATCGGCACAGGGACAGTGGAACATTCTGTAGCCATATTAAGAACGAGGAAGCATTCTGTGTAACGACATAAAAAAAAATGCCAAGATATATTAAATGGGGCGGGGGGGAGCTTGCAGAACAGTGTGTGAAATATGCTAGTATGTGTATAAAAAATATGTGTTAAAAAAATGGCTGGGTGAGAGAACATGTACTCATTTTTTGCTTGCATATGCATAAAGAAATTCTGAAGAAAACAAGAAAAACAGAAACAGTGCTTACCTGTGTGTGTGGAGAGAGTGGCATTAGGCAGATGGCAGAAAGCGATGGGAGGAAAGTTTTATAAATCTTTTCACACCTTTGGATTTTTTTACTACAGAAATGTATTATCTAGATGATATTTTGTAAGCAGGGGAGAGACGTGGCTGTCATTTGCTCCTTAGAAAGCTCTCGCTGGCTGCAGGGCTGAGGGTGGAGGGGAGGCAGAGAGAGCAGGGAGGAAGGAAAGAAGGAGCTCACCCCTGCTCAGAAGGCATCAGCAAATGTCAACTGACTTGCTCTGCCCTGGAGGCATCGCCAGGAGATGATGGCACCAGCGCCAGTCACCCTCCCTGCCTTCCCTGAGTAAGGATGCGACAGGACTGCTCTGGCCTGCTCCAGAGCCAGAGTCCCAGTCACAGGCTTTGGAGCACTGAGCAGCATGACATTGCCTGATGCTGCTCCCTTGCCCACCCTTGTAGTTGAGCAGAGGGGGTGCTTGGGAGGGGGCCGCACAGGGTAACAGAAAGAGGCCGGAGTTCGGATGCAGCCATCCTGCGGTGCGGTCACGGAATGCTTCCTCACCCTGCCTCCGTGAACTGTGTGGATGTGGGCAAGTCACATTCCCCATGTTAACCTGTCTGCCCATCCATTCAATAGAATAATACCCATCGTGCATGATCATATTTTAATAAGATGATGTTTGCCAAGGGCTTGGCCACAGCAGTACCTCTAAAACCATCATCCCGACATCATCGTTGTTATGAAACAGATTTCTCCCAACTCAGGACAGCATTTATGCACTTGGAATTGCAAAGCCCTGCGATAAATAGGAACTATTCTGTTCCCGGCTGGTCCCTCTCCAACTGCTGGTGGTGTATGTTTTCTTGTCCTATTGACGTCGGGCCCAGCCACGTGACTTTTGTTGTCCCTGGGGATGTTGTCAAGAGCGAGGCCAGTGCAGGCTTGTAGTTCCTGTCTGAGGGGACCTCCCTGTGCTTCTCTGCCTCCCTGGGAAGAGCAAGCCCCAGCGAGCCCACTGGCAGCAGGTTGAGAGACACGTGGAACTGACTTGAGCCCACGTGTGGCCTGGAGCCAGGTTGCACTGGCCCTGGTACAGGTCAGCTGACTCCCAGCTGACACCAAGTAACTGTCATGCAAAGCCATGGAGTGCGAGAGGTTTGTTTCACAGCTTTACTGCAGCAATAGTTGCCTGAAGCATTGCTTGTTACCTCCAGAATGAAGTTGAAATTACTTCACCCAGCCTTCCAGGTCCTTTAGGGTCTCAATGACTTCTGCGTTTTTATCTCATGCCACTGCCTCCACATTGCACCTCAGGTCTCAGTGGAACCAACTTTTCAGTTCCTTAGGTGTGTCGAGCTGTGGCTCCCTCGCTGCCTAAACACTCCTCCTGCACCTGCTACACCTTCATAGCCTCCCCTTCTCCTTCAGGATGCAGCTTCCTCCAGGAAGCCTTCATTGGTGCCCAAGTCTGGGTTCGTCATCCTGGTATATGAACACACAGCGCTGTACTTCCTCTGCCCTGTGTTGTTAATGACCTGGTACTTGGCTCTGTCCCCACACTCCAGGGAGAAGGCATGAAGGCTCCATGAAGACAAAGACTGGGTATCCCCAGTTCCTGGCATATAGTCTATTCATAAATATCTCTTGACTGGATACATTTTCTATCCCTTCAAGCCTCAATCTGCCTTTCTGTAAAATGGGAACAATCTCATCAGAACTGGCGCAGAGCAGTGTCCTGGCCTGTCCTGGCTGCAGTGGGAGGAGCCAGCTCCGCACCTTTCACTCTCCAGCCACCTCTGCCTGCCCGTCCCTGCTTCCCATCATCCTCCTGCCTCTTCTCCAAGGAACTCCAGGTGAAGATGCGGATTGTCCAGAAGATGAATGCCCAGGTCTACGTGATGGGATGCTGCTTGTACTTACCTGGTTTGCATGGGGAGAAGAGAAGAGCTTCCTACGGGGCTGTCCCCAGTCACTCCACTCTGCCTGCCAGAGCACCTTCAGGGCTGATCTGCCTTGCCTTGTTGGTGAGGACAGGCAGAAGCCAGGGCACCAGGAAGGGAGGAAAGCTGAGCTGTAACTGAGTCCCTTCCACAGGCTCCCCTCCACCTAAGCTCACTTCCTCCCCACCACCCACTCCATGAAGAAGGTGCACCCCCATGTCTCAGAGAGGAAAGTGACTCACCCACCTTCACCGAGCGGTGGGATTGGAACCCAGGCCAGCTGACTCCAAGGACAGTTTGTACTATGTATGAATGCCTCACAGGGAGCAATGGCTCAAAGGGCCTCAGTGAAAGACAGGGGATTTGTGACACTACTACAATAAGAAGAGAGACTATGCACCTCACAAGAGGCTGTCTCGTTCAGAACCTCAGCAGCTCCTCATGACTTTGCGAGGCAGGCATGTTACCACCCCATTCTACAGATGAGAAAGCCGAGGCTTAGCAAGGTGGAGTGACTTCTCCCGGGGGCTCACAGCAAATGACGAAGCTGAGGCAAGGCTCTTCCCATCTTGTCCCCTGGATCACTGAATTCGAGGGTCCCACCCAGGGCACCCTTCTCCCAGAGGACATTTTGGCAGATACCATGATATCTTGGGACATCATCCTGTCCCTTTTCGCGTGCTGGCGATGCGAACCATCAGGCTCCCTACCGTTCCACCCATAGTTGTGTGACCTGTAACAGAGACTCCTAACGTCTCTGGAGTCTCCGGGTATCCAGTTATCTCTTGTTCC